GGTAGTTAAGTGTGTGGGTTGACTGAGAGATGCAGTTTAAGTTGTAGTTTAATGGTTTGGTTAATGGTTTGGTTTGAGTGGATTTGGTTTTGAGTGATTTGGTTTGAGTGGTTTGGTTTTAAAGGGGGTGGTTTTGGTTTAAGTGATGTTTTAACGAATGTCTTAAGCGAGTGTCTTTAAGCGAGTGACTTTAGCGATGTCTGTTAAGCGAGTGACTTTAAGCGAGTGATTAAGCGAGTGACTTTAAGCGAGTGAATTTAAGCGAGTGCTTTAAGCGATATTTAAGCGAGTGACTTTAAGCGAGTGACTTTAAGCGAGTGACTTAAGCGAGTTGAATTTAAGGCGAGTGATTTAAGGAGTTTGACTTTAAGCGAGTGACTTAGCGAGTACTTAAGGAGTGACTTTAAGCGTAGTGACTTTAAGCGAGTGACTTTAAGCGAGTGACTTTAAGGAGTTGATTTTAAGCGAGTGATTTTAAGTGATGACTTAATGGAGTGGATAAGAAGCGAATTTAAGTGAGGTTTTAAGTTATTTGGTTCATGGTGGGTGGGTTAAGTTTAGCATTGGTAACGGTGGAGTGACGGTGAATGTGGAGTGACAGGCATGGAAGAGTGGTTGCGGTCAGGGGAAAAAAGGTGGTTTGGGGGAGGGGTAAGAGAAAAAAACAAGATTGGACTGAGCTGGGCACGTACGCAGGGCAGTTGATGGAAGGCGAGCAATGGACTGTCGCCTTAGAGGGCGTACGAGGACCTTCCCTGGAGGGTCAATGTGTGAAGCGGCGAGAGCAGGTGTTTGAGCGGGTGGGGAGGGAGAGTGAGAAGCGGAGTGGGCTTCCACTGCGCGAGGGGAGGAGGCGAAACGGAGCGGAAATGGAGGCATGAGGCAGGCGCTGGAACGGGCGGCAAGCGAGCTGGATCGCTCAAGTGCGCCGTGTTTACGGTAACATGCTTAGGCATGCAATGTTTATTGTGCAAGTTTGACAGGCGTGCAATACCCTTCCTTAGATAATGGTCCTAGCAGAAACAATAGACAGGCTTATGCTAACTCAGGCCGGATTAACATCAATAAGAGAATTAAATGGTATGACCAACTATGGTGACTCGTAATGATAAAGAAATAATAAAATAGGTAATAAAGTAATAAGAAATAATAATACAGTACTATTAAACTCTATATTAAATATTTTACTATTTTGTACTCTGATAAAAATCTATTATAGGCCTACGTGGAAAATTCTTCACTGTAGAATAGTTACGCATTTTTCTATATAAAAAAGGTTTCAAAAAGTAATTCTAAACAACTTTCAAGTGTTGATGGCATGGTTTGAATTCAACCCAAACAACCCTGCATTTTTGCGTGAAAGTCTTGTAAGCATCATTTGCTAAAGTACGAAACTATAAATTAATAATATTACAATTTTTAACTGTACTACCTGTGCATCTTACTTGGGTATTGTTGATAGAGGAAAAAATGCGTTACTGGATAATGCGAGTTTTCGATATGCGGAGATGGACGGGTCATCTGGACTCGAAGGTTGCGCGTTGCGAAATCATAGTACAGAGGGAATTGCTAGGAAAGCTGGGCTCACTAGAAATG